ATTGGCTCAAATTCTATTTAATCTCATCATTCAACTTATCTAATCACAAACTAATCACAAAATTGAAGATTTCCGCCCATATGGTTGCCTTATGTAATTCGTAAATTTTAAAAGTTATATTTATCAGTGAAATTTATCATAAAGTATAAATTTATATATACGATTTTATTATATATAACAATAAACATATTTCATAAATTTGATATATTTATGCTATACGTCGTTCAAAATTTATTTTATTTCTGAATTGACCTCAGTCATTTTGAATAGTAAATTTACATTTTTTATTATGATCGGTATACAATTAACATTATAATGCTGAATAAAAAAAAGAGTACCCAAAAAATTAAGTTTTTTATTTTAATATTTGTTCCAGTGTTATGTCAAAATGTTTCATGACTATACCGTAATAGCGAGATCATGCTTACGGTATAAATAGTTCTTATGTCCCTGTAATGGCATATGTATTTGCATGTCTTGCTTTTTATTTGTACAGTTACTGTTAAATTATTTATAGTTTTGTGTCGGAGTCACGTTAAGTTGTGACACAAAAATTTGTGGTCTATCCGCTCCAATTGTAAGTAAAAAAAATTAAAGGGGAAAATCGAACAGTAAGTCGCAAAAAACTCAAATTTGGTATGGAAATTATTAAATAAAATTATCATCGCATTCCACTTTATGTTGATGCAGGATTTTACTAAAACGCACTTATGGTGTTTTACACCTATGTATACATTATCTCAAAAACTGGCTAATTAATTGGTGTGAGGTGTTCTAAGTAAAAATGTTCTACACCCCCAAAAACCCTTCCCAAACCCTAATCCTAACTAGAGGTGCAGGCGAAACTATCCCAATGAACCGTACGACACACAGCAAGTTACGGTTACGGTTGCGGCAAAAACCGCATGAATCCCAATTGCCATATGAATCCCAATTGCCGTATGAATCCCAATTGCCGTATGAATCCCAATTGCCATATAAATTCAAAATACCATATCGATAAATTAAAATTTTATATCAATCGATATGTCAATTTAATTAATCAATACTACAATCAATATATGTAATTAACTAGATACGTATAAAAAATATATAATAAATGATGTAATAAAAATAATATATACGTAATAAAAATAGTTTATATATTTTCCTTGAAGTTATTGTCTATTAACGAAAGTTTTTCTACAATGAATACAAGCAAAGACAGTTCGGTTCTAAATAATGATAGTTTCCCATTATCTGAATTAAATTATAACGTTAACCAACTTCTTACATGTCAGCCTTTGACTTCTCAACAATTATCAAAACCAATTCAAGAGCAAAATGAAATTATTGCATCTCAGAAAGTTGATGATAGTCAAAATAACTCATCTGAAGAAGAAAATTTTTTGCCTAATCGGCCTAAAAAAAGACGTCGTGGTGGTGGGCCTAAACGAGATCCAGTTTGGGATTATGTTAATATTGGTGATCATTTAGGAGATGGACATTATGGTGCTAGTTGCAGATATTGTCAAGTTGTATGGAACCGTGGAAAGCCACAGATACTTAAACGTCATTTAGCACGAGAATGTGAAGAAGTTCCTTATGACATTAAAGAAATCTGGCGAGATAATTTAGCAATGGAAGAAAAAACAATTAGAAGGTTAAATAAAATTGAAACTAAATTAAGATCATCAAACATCATGTCAGAAGAAAGACAGCGGCAGATTGATAGTGCTATTTTAAAAGGATGGGTGTGCGCTGGGATTCCTTTTGAGACTATTGATAACCCTTTTATTATCGATATGTTTAAAACTTTAAATGTTGAATATAATCCACCTTCTCGCTATACACTTTCTGGACGCATTCTTGATGAAGAGGTAGCTAAAGTTGAAAAGTTTGTTGATGCTGAATTAGATAATGAAATGAATCTAACATTAAGTAATAATTTTGTTTATTAATTTTTTTTTAAATATTAATTTTTTTAATAATTAATGATGTATATTTTTTTAGCACTTGATGGATGGACTGCGCCAACAGGCGCATCATTCTATAATTATATAATTACGACCTCTAATCATCGAGAGCACTTATATCAAATTAAAGATTACTCAGCTATATCACAAACTGGAGATTTGTTAGCTGAAGAAATTAACAGTATCTTAAATGAAATTGGAGTAGAGAAGTT